AGTCGGAAAACAGTCTGGAGTCTGGAGAACCATACCTCTTTGCATCGGAAAGGAGTCTGGAGAATGTCTTACCTCCTTGCGTCGAAATTCAGCAATTTCCGCATGTCACGGGCGGTCGCCGCCCGTACAGGTAGGCCGGCCGGCAGCGCCCGTGCTCAGCGCGCTGCCTACCCTGCGAATCGCAGGCGCTCTCCCTCTCTGCTGCACACTGGAGGGCGAGAGTGTGACAGACAGACGGACGAATGCGCACGGTTACCTCGACGAGCGCGCTTCTTTCTTGGTATTACTCCCAAACAGGCGGCGTTGCACCGGCTGCCATAAACCTTTTCCTTTGGCAAGATAGACGCGTACGCGTAGGACGAGCCTTGACTTGACGACGCGCGAGGCCTATCTTTTGGCGTAGTTAATTCAAACTGTCGTCTTATATTTCCCATCGGCATATAGAAGTATTAAGAGTGACGAATAAAAAAATTCGTTTAAAATCGGTTCACCTACGTTAAATCTATTAGTAACGTGACGTTTTGAGTATGGGTTGGTGCAAACGTTCTTGCCAAGTCAAACCTACGTTTCTCTTCAGACAAATTTTTGGGTGAAAGTGCATGATCTCGTTCAAATGAACGCGTTCAAGTGAATGAGTTCAAATGAAAGCGTGAATGAGTTCAAAAACAAATATGCTTGCTTAAATTCATAAGTAAAAGATGCACGTCGAAAATGTGTATGTGTAATGCACTCTCCGTGCAATGATCTTCACGACTTAACCTTTGATCTTTACCGGTTGGCGAGGAAGAGGTCATTTATATTTGGGCGGGACGCTACACAAATTGTGGACAGTGTTGATCTGTAGCTCTTGGGTCCTCGCTTTGGGCTTGTGGTGCGGCTTCGCGCCGAGTTCTGCGTGCGACTTGAGAACTTGCGTCCCGGCCGTTAGCCGATGGTGTTGGAGCCTGGCCGGAATGGCCGACCCCGGCTCGGATACTAAGCCGACCGCCCAGGTAGCGCGCCTTCACACCCTGCAACGCCCTGCTACGCCCTGCAACGCCCTGCAACGCCCTGCAACGCCCTGCAACGCCCTGCAACGCCCTGCAACACCCCGGGCACTACAATACGGTTGAAGCACCTGTCTTATGCGAAACGAGCTGAAGCAGGAGAGGATCAGGTGTAAGGAGGAAAAAGAAGAAATCGAGAGGGAGAGAGATTTATTGTTGATAGATTATTATGCCAATGAACTGAAATGCAGTATTGGACATACAATATCTAGACATTAGAGAGGGTTGGAAAGGGGGGGGGGGTGAGAGAGAGAGAAAGAGAACTTGTTATTTTGTTTGTGGGCCGGAAGTGTGGAACCATCCCCTCTCTGCTGACTGAATCAGCTCACCAAGGCATCCGGTCCACTTCCGGTACACAGCTGTCACTGCAAGTCCGGGCCCCGTCCAGGACATGGGTAGTGCCGGAGTGGACACCGCCTGGCAGCACACCCTGCTGCTGCGCTATCCCCCTCTCTCCCTCTCCTCTCTCCCTCTTTCTCTCCCTCTTTCTTTCTCTCTCTCTCTCTCTCTCTCTCTCTCTCTCTCTCTCTCTCTCTCTCTTTTTCTCGCTTATCTCTATCTGTCTCTCTCTTTTTTTAACTTTCTCTCTCTTTTTTTAACTCTCCCTCCCCCTCTAACTCTCTCTCTAACTCTTTCTCTCTAATTCTCTCTCTCTAATTCTCTCTCTCTAATTCTCTTTCTCCTCGCCCCCTCTCCGGCCGGCTCGCGCGCGTTACGTAGGTGGGACTTTTCCTTATTACCCCCCTCCTCATCCCAGCCGTCCCCGAGGAGTACCAGTCCAGTAGTAGATTGCAGTGCGTCCGCTGGCTAATCCCTGCCTGGCGGGGCGCGGCGGGGCGGGGCGGGGCTAGGGGAGCGTCCGCTGATACACGACCCCAGCAGCAGTGGAGAGGACCTGTGCTGTGTTCGGGCTGAAAAGAGAGACGTTACGGTGCCAACGGCGGCCTTTCTACTACTCTGCTGCAATACACCGAATACCCCTTATATTTATGTTGACGAAATCTGTAACAAAGATATCATTGTTGATCACATACCGGGTGTAAACTGTGAATGCGCAGCAGCAGTGCTGCGCGGGTTTGCCTACCCAATCCGCCCGGGAGGCGCCATGGCCCCTGCAGCCCTGGCGGGTATGGAATTCCACAACACTGCTGCGCATTCACAGTTACACCCGGTGCATGCAGTCGGCGCAGCCGCCGAATCGAATCGATTGTACCTCGTTATTATGTGTTGGTTACCTCGGGTTGTTGGTGTGGCAGCTGGCTAGAAGAGCGCCGTCTGCGACCCCGAATATAATCTCTACGGCGGCGACGAGACATCTCTCTCTCTCTCTCTCTCTCTCTCTCTCTCTCTCTCTCTCTCTCTC